TGTTACATTCATATGATATTATTGATATTCGGCTGTCTTTCATTTTATAAATAAAAATGCAATTACAATTATTACAATTCTGTCTTTGTCTTTCGTTGTTAGGTCCTCTCCAAATCTTAACTTTCTGGACTGAAGATACTCTGATCCCTTCGCACTCTTCCACAGGAGCTCCTTGGCTGATCTCGCCGTAAACCTCAAGATGACCGGTCGAACCTTCTCGGCGCTTTTCCTCCCGACGCGATGAACAACTTCAATGTGATGAGGAAAGTTATCTGCAGCCTCCGGTACCACGGCGCGGCATATGTCAATCACTCGTTGTTTGACATTCTCTCCTTCTTGCTCTGCTAGACCGTAAAGCCTTAGATTCCATCTTCGTTGGTATCTTTCAGCTTCATTCACTCTTTCTTCCAACTCTGAAATTCTCTTCTGATGTTCTTCGTTTACTTCCTTAAGAGTCACAATGTCTTTCTTAACATCATGCATCTCTTTAAAGAGAAATTCAGTAGCTTCTTTTAAAGAGTTTATGCATTCTCTGTTTTGTTTGATCTCATGGTGTATGGTTTCGGTATTTTGATTCATTTTCTCCACCAATATTTGCACAATGTTATTCTGTACCTCAGCAAGCGTTGGCTCCGATTTACTTTTCTTGGGATCTGGCGTGCATGGTTCCGAACCTGGGACCGGATTTAACGTTAGCTCTGGACTACTGCTTCGAGCGTAGGAATGCGTCTCCATGACTTCCATTTTTTGCTTATCAGCGTGGTCAGCAGAACGATCTCTTCCTAAACCAAATTTTCCTTTGTCTGTATTTCGCCCTCCTCTCTTTTCTGCCATTACCTCATACGAGTGAAGGGGAAAAGATTCCAAATCTCTTTGAACTATACAGCTTTCAGACGTCGGTATAAACTTTTGTAAGTGATTATTTCTAAAGGTCGAAGGTTACTAAATTACACATTTGTTGCTCCGTTGTTCAATGCCTTACTCAATACATCAGTTTAAAGTCTGTAAAGTTGCTCAGTGGGTGTGAAAAACGTATACAAACTCTTAACAACAAAAAACTCCGTCTGCACCGGACGCCATCTTGGCTAACCCTCAGATCAGTGTTTTTACATGAGAGAGCACTACGTTTACCAGTCAGAGAGCAGCGGAAAAACAACAAACGTTAAAGGACATTCCTACTTGGTCTTGTAAGTATCTGTGTTTTCGTTTTTTGACGTGTTCATTATTTATCTATATTATTTGTTATCATGTTTAGGAACCGTGACATTTTAGTGAAGGGAGCAGATTGTAGTTGATAGTGATCCGTGACTAGGCCCACGGTTCAGCACGCATGTGTTCAGAGGATTAATTGCAAAATATAATAGAGTGAAAGTTTTATCATTTGTATGTGTTTACAAACTCAATCTATTTTAAAACAGCGCAAGAAGAGCAAAGAGCAAACAACAGAACAAACACAGCTTTCACAAAGATTAATCCATATTAATTTATACAGTGAACACACTCAGAAGAATTGGAGAAACTGAGGAGGAGTTTCAACATCTGGAAAAGATCCGGGCAGCAATGGTAAAAAAAAAAAAAAACTCTCCAAAACAACATTTCCTCACTAAAGCTCTCATCGTTGACAAAGTCCATCATTTATTTTAATTATTATATTGAATTTATTACTGAACAATGACTTTACAGTGCCAGGGCTGAATTTTTGTCCCAGTCCGCCCCTGCCCAGTAGCATGTCGCTCTATAAGGGTTACAGTATATGGTTTTCAGGCTATTAAAACAGTTACGAAGCACATATTAAGTAAAAAGAAATATAGGCTACTAAAATAGGCCTATCAAATCATTGTTTTGCGCAATAAATGTTAGAAATAGTATAGTGTGTAAATTAAATAGAACATTTAAAACACACCTGACAGTTTCCTCCGACCTGACAAAGAAAGTATCCTAAAAAAATCCACCTTTATTATATAGTTGACTTCTGTGAATGTATACTAGTGTGGTTGATTATAATATTATAATTTTACTTAGGAAGACAAAATTCACAGAATTCTTCTACCTATAGCTTATATTCCTTCAAATTTTGAGTGGTGAAGAAGATTAACAAAATTTCAGAAATCAAGTATTTATAGATAATCAAGTATTTATAGATCATTTTGATCTCCACTGTAAACTGCTTCTTGAAAGAACACACACACACTTCAAATTTTATTTACTAGATATATAACCTATATATAACCTATTATATAAATAATAGAGATATAACCCTTGTGACAACATACTTGTGTGACGACTGGCCCCACACTACTTTGTCAACTTTTGTCACAAAAACAGCACCACATTTTGTGTAAGGTGTTCCACACACGATGTCTGAGCCATTTGCACTCATACTTGGAAGCTGTGAATCGTATAAAGTTCATGCTTTGATGAAAGTTTCAACGGCTTTTTTTTTTTTCCGTTGTCTTTGAATGTGTGGTTAACGCTGCTGTCTGAAGTGCAGATGTGTGTGAAGTGCTAAACAGACAAACAGGGCTGTATGGCAGGTTGTGTTGCGTCAAACAAGAAAAAGATCTTGAGGTTTTTAGACAAGGTTATCTCTGAATGTTGCAATAAAACTGTCACCATGGTAAACAAATTACAAAAACATTAAAGGTGTGTAACATGACCATTATCGCACTGAGCTCATACTGTAGTGCAGGGAATGTAGCCTATTGGAAACTATGAGCAGATGCAGAGTCATTCATCATAGAAAATGACTGTGCTTGTGTGCCAAGAGGATTTATTTAATATTTAAGTAGGGACTGCATTATGTAACGTAAACACAAATTAATAATATGAAACATCGAACAGAGCTATTATAATTTAACAACTATTTACATTCCACTTTATATTCATATGTCTACAAGTGCTACTGATAATTCATCTATACATTACTGCAGTATACAGTATATATATATATATTTTTTTTTTTTTCTGTCAGGTTAAAGATAAAATGAATAGCTCAATAGTAGATATAGGGCTCTGTGCATTTTATAAACCCTGTTTCTCTCCCCCCCCCAACCTCATCTCTGTGTGCCCTTTGGAACAGTCTTTATAAGCTGCTTTATTCAGCATCACAGCTTCAGGCTGGTCCATATGAAGAAAGCCTTTGCTGATCCATATCAAACAGCACATACTCCGAACTGTGCTCTGGGTCCTGGCACGTGGTTAACAATGAAACACTGGTAGTTCCACAGCAGAAGCAGCACCATGCCACACAGGGCCAGTATTACCAGGCTGCCCAGCAGAAGGCGCTGTTTGTCCAGGAAGCATCCGTTCTGACAGCTCTCATCAGTGAGATGTGTGTACCACCACAGAGATCTCTTCAGCACAGATCCTGGGCGCTGATGTGGATACAGAGACACGACGAAATCTTTTGTTTGTGCTGTGCTCATTGTACGGGGAGTACTCAGAGATTCTTACAAGCTGCCTGCTGCGGGAAAAACAAGTGGTAGGGCCGCAGAGATTAGATGAATATTGCAGTTCATGTTGCACAGGTCTGGCTAGGGCTTTTGTGATTTTGTCTGTCATAAATATGCAAACACAATCTTTTCAGATATAGAATTCATGAGAATTCGTGTTAGGGTATAAATGAACTACATTTTCAGTGGTGTGAAAGTTCATTTATTTTCTTAATAGTGTTGTTTTTCCAAAGTATGTTTTCATAACCCCAGGGTAAAAAGCGATGCTAACCTCCATATTAAATTACAAGTGTGAAATGTTTCAGGGTTTAGAACCAACGACTTTTTAAAGGGTTAGTTCACCCAAAAATGAAAATTCTGTCAATAATTACTCACCCTCATGTCGTTTTAAACCCGTAAGACCTTCATTCATCTTTGAAACAAGAATTAAGATATTTATTGATGAAATCTGAGAGCTCTCTGACCCTCCATAGACCGCAAGGATCAAGGCACAGAAACGTAGCAAGGACATCAGTAAAATAGTCCATGTAACTTCAGGGGTTCAACCATAAGTATACGAAGCAGCGAGAATAATTTTTGTGCGCAAAGAAAATAATAACATCATTTATTCAACAATTCTTCTCCCCGAGTTACCGTCTTCTGCCATTTTGGAGAGTACCCCAGAAAGTATTCAAGGTAATCAGCGTTGTTTACGTTCAGCATGCGCATGCTTTATCCTGAACGTAAACAACACTGATTACATTGATTATGTTCAGGTCAGGGGTACTCTCCAAAATGGCGGAAGATGGTAACTCGAGGAGAAGAATTGTTGAATAAGTTATGTTATTATTGTTTTCTTTGCGCACAAAAAGTATTCTTGCTGCTTTGTAAACTTACGGTTGAACCCCTGTCATATGGACTATTTTACTGATGTCCTTGCTACGTTTCTGTGCCTTGATCATGGAAGTATCCTTGCTGTCTATGGAGGGTTAGAGAGCTCTCAGATTTCTTAATTTGTGTTCTGAAGATGAATGTCATTACGGGTTTGGAACGACATGAGGGTGAGTAATTAATGACAGAATTTTAATTTTGGGGTGAACTAACCCTTTAAATTAATCAGTTCGTTCAGACTCCCTGTACTGTTACTATAATTACGAATTGGTTATGTAAATTCGGGTGTTTTTGTTGCAGTTATTCAGTATGAATTTACCTGCTCAAGTTTACTACTATCATTCTAAAAAAGAATGTCTTTATGGCTCTGATTAAATTATAAATTTTATCATTGTATTATTATTATTTTTTTTATAAAAACATTCCCCTTGGTATCTTTAATGTAGTTAGCTACTTTTTGTTTGTAGCTTGTAGTGTAGCTAACTACTGTTTCGAAACAGTAGCTTGACTGTAGTTTAACTGCTTCAAATTATGATTCATTTGTAGCTTGGCAGGCTTTACTTTCAACATTCCAAAACATTGAAATGCATATAAATATCTTATATTGACTGGATACTAAATCCAATCCTTATATGCCAACATAGCCTATTTTGATCAAGTTTTTAACCAACAAATGACCTGAAATAGACTCTAAATAAAAGAGTTATATATATTTTTTAAAATAAACTAGACATGTATTATGGCTTTTTTGACTGAGGGGTGCATCAAAAACACCCTAGTTTACTGAAATGCCACATTATTAAGATTCCGGTGAGAGGTAAATACACTGGTTCTTCTACCATGGCAGCGATAAAACAGCACAAATCCAATACAAACACCAATAAAAGCCTACCTTGCCACTTGATGTAGAAGCTGTACGACTGCTGGCTTATGAAGACAAATAAGCATCAGGTTGCAAGATGCCCCAGGGTTTGTCCATTCACTGACCTGTACTCCTGTTTGGATTACTTCTGCTCAAAATGTCAAAACAAACAGATTCAGAACAGCTCCTCCTCTCCTGTCTTGGCACAACACCTTCTCCACACCAGATTGTGACCATGTCTGTTTAATGTGAGAGGCGGATTGTGCAATGATAATTAATTTTCTGTGGTTTAAAAAATT